AAATAATTTGCTGTAAATTTCCGGAAACTATTATCACAGATATAATAAGAAGCAAAAAATTCTATAGTAGTGAAAAGAGTAATTTTGTTTACCAAGACTGAAACTGGTCAGTGCTTCGGAGTTTATTTAGAAGTCAACTCTAGCAGTGGTCCCTCTATAATCATGGCTTATTTATCAAAATCAAGAAAATAAAATTTTTGTTATAATCCCTCTCACAAGCTACTCTTCTTATAGAAGAAATATAATGCCCTAATATAAGTAATGGTTTGAGGTCCTGCTGTTGTAAATAGCCCAGAAAATTAAGTTTGTTGAGAACAGCACAAATTTCCTAACATGTTTTCCTCTTACAGACATTAACTAAGACCTTAGAGTGATTTAAATACACAATATGTTTCAAGTAGAATGCATGACATATTAATTTCTAATAAAATTGCATTTCAACCAATTAGGTCTCATCAAGCCATTTTGGTTGATGGTATCAAAAAAACCAACTTCAGCTGTGGACATTAATTTTCTAGACCAATTTTACAATTGTAGTCAGTACTATTAAGGTTGTGTTCCAAAAAAAAAAACATTTGTTTCATTATTTGATGAACATTTCTTTTATTTAAATATTGATACCCTATAGGTCAGGAAAAAGTATCGCCGGTACTTTAGGAAGAATGCTGCAAGAGTTTTGATGTACACTATTCAGGTTTATGTTGTGAGTTTTGTTTATTTTCCTTTTTTTAGCATATACACTTTTTTTTATTATTGTTTGTATTGTGTTATTTTTTTATGCATGAATACCCTCATGCACCACCAAATTGAAATTGCTTATTCAGTGGATTTTCCATACATATTAGTGTGTTAGAAAACAATTAACATTTCTGGCCAGGCAAAATTAATTTAAATTCTTAACCACCAGTCATTTCAATATAAGATTTTTTTTAAATTAACCAAGGAGTTATTAACACTGTTGAAAAAAGTCAAAATGAGTTATATATGTATGTTATTGTTTTAACCATATAATTCTAGATATACTATTTATGTTCTGTAGATTTCCAAAAAAAAGAGAAAAACCTTGGGGTACCCCAAAAATACAAACCTTTATGATACTTCAAGGACATATAATCAAATTTAATTTATTTACAAACTTTTACTTCAAAGCAATTAAGTAAATAAGCAACTACTGATAAATAATAGTGGGAAATATATATATATATATATATATTAGATTAACATTTCAGATTTACTGAATGTGTGATATTTTCTCCTTAGTCAGTGTTATTTTTTTATGAAATCTTGACTAGGTTCTCTTTGAGATAGAATCCTTTTAGACACTTGCATGTTCATTATTTAGGTCATTGAAGAAGGAACAAGCAAGTGTCCCAAAATATCCTTATAATATCCAAGGCAAGACATCCAACTGTTAAAAACCTTTTATTTAAACACAGTTTATTGGGCTGAATATAAAAAATGCATGACAATTATGTTCAAATCTAGAACTGAAAGTCACATAAGTTCAACAAAATTCTTATACTGTACCGTGCATATGGTTGTGACTACATTATATCAGTTTTAGTGTAAGTGCTTTTATAACATTTATCACCCTCAGATTTGTTGATTATTTTTCAAACCAATTTTGGAAAATTTATTAACATAATAGCATGATATGCTAGGGGTAACAAACATCAGAAAACTTACTTGCATGTCACTACCAGTTTATCATTACTATAAAAAGGCATCAGGTATATTATTATCAGAAGCTAGCTAATAAACTGTAAAGGTGTGTGTATGAGTAGCCAAAGTATTATTTCACACACAAAATATTCAAGTTCTTTGTTATTGTCAGTAAAGTAATATCTCAGTTTTGACTGAATTCCATCCTTGCAGATTCTTTCTGCATTATTAGGATACAGCGATTAGTGATTATGAAAGTATCTTTTTTAATTAAGATTAATTGGTTTAATGTACTTATATGTCCATTTGATGAAATAAAAGTGAGGTAATTAGTTTGATTAATTACTTAGCGGGATGATTTCATGTTCCTGACCTATGCCCATTTGTCAACTTAAGCATAATGCAAATTGTTTTATAATTATTTATTTAGTTTACCTAAGAGTCGAGGCAAAAATAATTGATATTCTAGTCATACGTGGAGCATCTTATTTTTGTAAAAAAGTACTTCCAATACAGCATCTTACCTCTTCTCAAATAATAGCTTCTCTCGTTTAGTGCTGCCCTCTATTTCCAAAAATGTTTTTGCTCACCACTAGCCTTGAAACTCCCATTTACCCCACGTTGAACATGGTTCTACTGCATCTTCACATGTAAATAGAAATGCAGCAACCTTTCACCAATAGGAAACTGATGCAGGTTACTCCCTCTATACTATTCAGCCTAACCTTTACTTCTCGTTTAGGCACTATTGTGTTCAGACTTATTGAATTTAGCTCGTGTTTTTTTCCCCATATTTGCACTGACATATTTCATAGTTCAACATTTCAATTAAAACAGAGTTAAAGTAAACTTAACTCTCTTTTCTTTCTTCACTATTTAATTTGGTAAATTGATCTCAGTTGAACCATGAATTTGGAATTTCCTTCTAAGTTGCACCTGTTCACAGATGTTTCACTGAGTTGGGGTGAGTTTGGAGCATCAGCAGGTTTCAGGTCGTTGGTCTCTGGTCAAGATGACTTTACATAATATCTTGGAACTACATACTGTTCTAAGAACTTTGGCTCATTTCCTTCCCTCACTTTGGGACGAATTGGTCATGATCCATTTTGACAATTTGACAGTTGTCTCATACATCAATCACCAGGTTGGTACCTGTTCCCATTTGCTATGTTTTCAAATGTTGGAACTACTGTTTTGGGTCTATGCTATTCAAACATGCCTCATTGTGTGTGCCTTCAATCCTGTCATGGATTGCCTTTCTTGTCCAGACCAGATCTTCTCCATGGAGTGATCCCTCAACCCTCAGGTATTCCAGTGGCTGCATAGACAATGGAGTATTCCTCATTTGGATGCATTTGCCACTCAGTACAACTCCAAATTGTCTCTGTTCTAGTCTCTGGTGCCTCATTTCCAGGCCTTGGCTGTGGATGTTTTCAGTCAGGATTGGACAAACTGGTACCTATATGCCTATTTTCCAATTCAGCTTCTACCTAGGGTGATATCCATCATCCAGTCCACTCTGTATTGGGTACATCTCATTACACCTTTCTGGCTGGCACAGCTCTGGTTTCCACTTCTCACCTTCCTTCAACTGACTCACCCAATACTGCTTCCTCTTTTGCCATCCCTCCTCAGACGCTGGTTCTACACCCTGCACTCTACACACTTCATCTTCATGCATGGCTTTTATCCAGTCCCTTGCGAGGAGATCCAGATTATCCACGTGTGTAACATCCATTTTACCCCATTCCATTCACCCTTCCTCACTCATGGTTTATCAGAGAAAATGGCAGACTTATTGCCAATAGTCTCTGTGCCATAGGTTCTGTCCTTCCTGTCCAACTGTACTGCATGTTTCAGAATTCCTTACATGGCTGTTTGATCATAACTCCTCAGAATCTTCTGTTGCAGAATATCGGGCAGCCTTATCAAACATTTTCCATTTTACCAGGTACTGCTAGGTGTTTTTCTCTCCCATTTCCCTTTTGTTGTGTTCCTTCCAGATTGATCATCCTCCTTGACCAACTCTATTGCTGGATTGGGATATTAATGTTGTTCTCCACACCCTAACTTTTCCTCCCTTTGAACCACTGGCTACCTGTTTTCTCTACCATCTCTCCCTTAAAACCTACTTCCTGTTCCTTTTGGCCTGTGGATGTTGGAGGTCAGACATATTTGCCATTAACATTTCATGTACCCTTTACCACCTGACCTATGTTTTCCTTTATCTGGATCATACTTTCCTTCACATAACATTGGCAGCTCGTGAGGGCAGCTCTTCCTTTATGCTGATTTCCCTCCCCTACATATCACATTTATATTCCTGATCTGATCTTTATTGACTTCTATGTCCATTTTATGCTCTTCATTGTTATACTGCTTGCATGGCTTCCTTCCATGGGTCTCACTCCTGGTTATTCATTTCCTGGATCCTATCCTCCCTCTGTTACCTTTCACCTTCTACCCTCATAGGCTGGATTCATCAACATATCAGGCTCTCATATGCATCTCTATCTTCCGATTCCTAGTATCTTTTCTTGGTGTTGTTTTCCCAGATTTGGCACCTTACTTTTTCTCTGGTATTTCTTCTTTGTCATCCTTTAGAAGAGATCATCCAGCTGGGTATATAGACTACACTGAACATTTTCATTTCCCATTGCCTACATCATGTGGCCATTTCTACCTCATCCAGATATTGTATTCCATCTGTGGTTTAACTGTGAATTGGTAAGTTTAATTTTCTCTTTTTCCCTTTTTTTCTTGCAATATCACATCCCTTATAGATAATGGATCCTGTACAAGTGTACATATTGGGTATCAGCCACAAAATCTGCACTATATGGTCTATAACTATCAGAGTATGTATATACCATCTGGGGTTCCCCTGGTTCACTACCTTTGATGAGTTGCAACCTGGAGGCTAGTGTAGCAAGGAGCTGGACCAGGCACACAGTAAGCTTGGATGCTCCATCACAGAAAATAAGGGGCTGAACTTGTAAATCTATATAAATATATGTACACCTCTCTCTAGCTCTATAACACACACTGTTCAGATGGGATGTTCCACAGGACTGCTGGTAAATTTTGCTTGCAGTATATTGCTTCATAATTATGCCTGTTCCAGACCATATTGACTCACAGGCTATCATGAGTAAAGCAGAAGGGTATAGCTGTCCATCTCTGCCATTTCTTTGATTGAATAAATCAGGGGTGGTCTGTTTTACAATATAGGGTTTCTGTGGTCACTCATTGTACAGTCTCTAGTTTCAGTGTTCTTCTGGCCTCCCCAGTGTATTTCTCATCCTTTGTCGAGTGAAGTATGGGAGTCCTTACCACTTATCAGTTCCTAGCAGCTGGGGTGCTTGACTATGGAGGCTTTCACCTGAACATACTCAATCCTATTCAGTAGAGAGTATGGAGATGGTGTGCTGCTGGTGTATGTGGTGTAGATCCTCCCACTGAATTAGAATTTGGAGTAGATCCACCATAATGCAGTTCACCCCTTCAGCTGGGACCCATCATCCTACCATCGTCTAGATGTCAGTTCCTAGACAATAGGTATCAGATTCGAGCTGAACTAGCCAACATAAGTCCTCATGCATGTGTTGGTTGGGAGCCCTCCTCATACCATTACATATATTTCTAACCTTTAATCTAACATTATAGTAGTTTTGTAAGTATTCATACTCCTTCCTCACCCACTGGAAATGTTGACTTTCAGTTTCCTTTAGCTAGATCCTCTGTCCTGTCTTGCTTTCCACACTACTTTTTGTCAAAAGTATGAAGATGGTTTTCAGTTATTTGAAGATAATTACTAGTCATACTGTAGTGGATGTAGATGTAGTGTCCATCAAAATGTGGTAAAACATTTTTCCTATGAATTCAGTTATTCATAGATAAACCTAAATAAAAAGTGAACTTCTTATCATATCTAGGCCAGTTGCAAAATTTAAAGTCCAACTTTAACCTCTAAGTTCAGCTAATCCAATTCTTTTTACTGGCATCTTGACTAGAATTCATGGACACATTGTTCTTGCTTATTAAAACGTTGAAAATTTCTTTTTAGTTGTCTTCGACATGCCTGATACTTTACAATAAGGTAATGTTACTTGCAGTCTCTGGCATACTATGTTGTGATTTTACCCATAAAACAATTTTTGGGCTTGGGTCAATTTCCTTGTAATAATACCAGATAGAATTTTCTGCTATCTGTCAATACCTTTGACAGATTATAGTCCATAAGCTAGGTGATTAGTTCCCTTTTATTTTTACCTTGCTTTATTCTTATGCATGTGTGCTCATCTTGAATGGTAGTCTGCCAACTACTTGTTTTGGTATATGTCTGGAAACTGAATGAAAATGGTCTAATGAGCCTTGTGGGATACTAGTAGTAGTGATTTGCACAGCTGTTGACATAGATTTACATAGTTTGACTGTTAAAATTTGCTTGCTGTTTCTGTAATTGTTTTGCCTTTAGATTCATTTTTCTGTACCATACCTCTTTTGCAGTTATCAGCATCTTGGACATCTGTGAGTCAAATATCAATAGTGTCAGCAGTACTCTGTAATTTTGCTTGCAGAACATTGATCTCAGCATGTATGATGTATACTATGATCTTCATATCTATTTTAATTAGATTCTTCTATAATGCTTGTCAGTCTTTTATTAAGTTGCTGGTTGTTTCTTTGATCATGTTTCATTTCTAACATCCTCATTCAATGTTTCTATAAATGGAAAGAACATTTCTATGCTTGCACATCAAACAATGATATCACTTCTCCATGCCTGCTATCCAGACTTTAAATATATAATAATCAACAAATATTTTACTACAGAGTAAATCTTCTCACAAGAAACAATTTGTAACATAAAAATACGATGTGCTACTATATGTTGACTATAGATTGCATAGAAATATATGAAAGGTAAGTTAACTACATTACCAGTAGAAAAATATTGAACAATTTTATTACTGGTACTTGTAGAAAATATGCGGAATATAGGTTTGAAATAAATATCTGATCATAAGTTAAGTATGTATAGGAGTTTGAAAAAAGTATAGGACACACCTCACTTTTTAAATTAAAAGTTTTGATGTCTCTAAGATGGAAATATGTAGCCATTTATCTGTACACTAAATTATTATATGTCATTAAATTTGTCTTTATACAAGTAGTATATTATTGTGTTTTGAAAGAAAATTTCTAAAAATGCTAACCTAAAAATGTCTGTCAGATTTCTAAAGAAGCATAATTGTAGGTGAATTTTTAATTAAATCCTCAATGACATAAACACCTAAATTAATGAATGTATCCAGAAGAACTGTGACAAAAATAGTGTCAGTATCTATATCGAAAACAACACATCAGGTAAATATAGTAATGACAAAAACTAAGTTGACAAATTATGACACTAACACAAGTAGTGAGGTGAAAATAAGTCTACATTATCTTACAACAACTAATCATTTTCAAAACAAGATAGGTCACCATAGTAGGTCTGCCATTCAGAAACCTTTAATAACACCAAAAAATGCAAAAGCTTAATAAAATGGTGTAAATAACATAAATATTGGACCAAAGATCAATGAAAAAAAATTGGCTTCATTAGGTAAATCATTTTTTTGTCATCAAATGGATGTGTTTATATGTTATAATGGGCCATAGCTGAGGGACAGTTACTCATTACACATACTAGTTGTTTGAAAAAAGCCAGGAATACAGTTGGTGGCATTTTCACACTGATCACCAACTTGAGGAGATTTGTGTTACAATAAGAAATGAACCAGAGACTTTTTATATTAAAAAACATACAACATTTTTTGGCATTAATAACCATATACCATATAAGCTATTTGAAAATTATATTAGCAGTAAATCTTTATAATCTTTGCACCTTCAAACACTTTAAGATCTTAGTTACAGAATAAAACCATACTCACTGGGAAACTGAGACATATATAGATGGAACAGAAGGCATAACTGGCTGGTAGCTCATATTTGTTGCAGGCTGGCAGCTGTTAGAACCTCATCGATGCTGATTGACTTACTGCAAATTCTACCCAGCCTTTATTCATAATTTTTAGATGTTATCTTACCCATCGGTATGCAGTGCATGGCTAACACTCACTCGGCTGAAACTCCAGTTCACAAATCCTGCACAGGAACTCTTTATTCTCAGAACCAAGTAACTTAAGATTACTGACGCATGCAGCTCAAGGATAACCTTGAGCAAGAATATTCACTTAACACATGCTCAATAACATCATTATTATGATCTTTTGTCATCATTTCACTTTACTTTAGGCTTATTACTGGGTATATTACCAACGACAGCTTAATGGTCTGTCATTTCTTTTCTTGACAGTTTGCCATACAGGCCATGGTGATCTATCCCAGAGGTTTGATACTTTTTCTTTGGTATCTTGAAAAGGTTTTGCCTTAAGATAAACATCTTGGCTAATTATGCACCAGAATGATGCTCACGCAATTAAAGTAGTTGCTTAAGTGATCTCTAACTTTGTTTTTTATAACTGCTATTTCTTAACTCTAAAATGTCTTAACAAGAGTATTGCAAGAAAACTACACTGAAATGTTCTTAGTCAACTTCAAATAATATTTTTATTCTGTGAATTTATAATATTAACTTTGGCTTTCTATTCCCTATGTGTACTTGTTTCATATGTAGTGAAAACCAAAAGAAGCTTAATTCCTTGAATGTCTTATACTAACATTTAAGCATGGTGGAATTAAGTGATGGTATGGGCAACTGTTTTCTTGTAATAGCTTAGGGCTTAGCTATGATCTCACTGAAGGTAATGTGACAACAAATTACTTAAACTTTATTGCAGTCAAGGTTCATCCTACAATGAACACTTTTATTCTCAAATGGAGCTGGTCTATTACAGACACTGCACCAATACTGTTGAAATTGTTAAAGACTGGTTTAAAGAACATGAGGAAATGTTTAGGCACTTAACTTGGGCACCATAGTCACTAGATTTACATGTTATCAAGACAGTATGATGAGCTCTTGAAACCAATCATCAAAGCAGATTTCTACCACCTTTGTCACTTTTAACAAATAGAAGAGCATTGATTGACAAATGGTGAAAGATATTCGTGTTTGATTCACATCAGTTTGTTTCATCAATTTCATGACATGTTAATGCGGTATTATAGATTTTTGATGGATGAACTTCATATTAATAAATGAGATTTAGAAGTTAACAGGTATTTTCATTATTTTGTCCAACCCCTTCGCATATCTGCACAGGATTACCTATTAAATAATTTGAAGAAGAATGACTAAAACATGAGTTGATTACAGACATGTGAAAAGCAGTAACTGAAACTTAGCTGATAACAACATGATGGCAAAAAACTAAAACTCTAATTTATAGAGGAACCACCAGAATAATATTTTAACTATGTGTACAAAAAGAGCAAAATCTAAAAACTTAGTTCAGCTCTTTCCAGAATATTATTTGTATTAAATGTTGTATATAGCTATACTCAGAGTGAAATACCAATTTTATAAGTTGATTGTGGTCACTTTAATGGTGATATATCTAAAACAAACATTTGCTGACAAAAAAGAATTTGAAATACAAATTACATGCAGAGAACCTTTGAAATATTCTTGTACTCCTCAACAGCAACATGCCGGCATGTATAACTTAGATCAAAGAACCTAACAGTTAACAAAATCTTTAACTAACTCTTAATTCCAAAGAATACACAAATATTGTTTATATAGCTCAGCTCTTAAGATTCTTGTCACCTCGACAAAAGCAGTATTGAAGCTGAAAAGGCTGTTTAATCATTCTCAGCAAAAAACTGTAGTAAGCCCATCTATAACTTTCAACATAGGTATCTTTAGTCAGCCTCCAAAGAATTCTCCTAGTGGCTCAATGGTAAGTCTGAAGGATTATAATACTAAAAACCAGGTTTCAATATAGCCATGGTGGGTACAGCACAGTTAACTCATTGTAGAGTTTTGTGCTTAAAAACAAACAAACAGAAGTATCCCAAGAACTAATGTAAAAATCTATCAATTTCTCACTAGCCAATACAGTTGTACTATAACTTTTGGATTTTCTAAAATAGATCTTCAGTCAAAGAATACAAAGACCTTTTACTGTATATCATATAATAGAAAGACATAGAAATGTTTGCTGACTGATTGTATTGTATCAACATAAATTAATGACAGTGAAAATGCATAAAAAATAAACTTATCTATAATGTGTCGGTCATAGTCTAGTGGATTTGACACTGTGAACATGCTCCTCACTTTCAACTGTGGGTGTATTAAAAAAGTGACAGTTAATCTCTTTATGGGGTTTGATGAGTGGGAAAAACCTTATGATAGTGGGTGCTGCTGGTTGATTGTCTTCCCTTTGGTCAGTAGCTCAAAATGAGGGACAGCTATACCTAAACCTTGGAGGTTTCTGGCATATCTATTTAGCCCATGTGTGGATGAGGTGCTAATCAGTTTGAAAATTCCAATTCATTTATAGTTCTTAATTTCTTGTAGGAATCTTTCCTTAAGATATATGTCTGGAATATGTTAGCAGTAAATATTTTTGAATTCAATAGTTACATAAAAAGTTGTGTAAGTAAGTTTTGAAGAAGCTCATGTGTTGAGAATTTCTCTATTCTTTACTTGCTAATGCATTCACCATATGAAAGAGCAGATCTTGAAAGCACACGTTTTTTTCTATGTTTTGATTACTTGCATCTTTCTATTTTGTTGATGTATGATATTAAATTTAGTTCATTAACCAGAAAGGCTCACTCGATATTAGACAATTTTACTTCATTGAATATGTTACAAGTTAAATAGAGCACTTTATATTAATATTGTTACAAAATTGGTTTTAATCTAAATAAGGTTCTTTCTTCACATACAGAGGAGAAAATTTTTGCTGTCGCTTTCCAGACATCTCCCTTCAGAATCACCACTGTGTAAAGACTGGCCATCGACACCCATCTGTTTAGAAGAAACAAACCAACTTCTTAAGAAGCTGTATCACAAATGGAGGGTATGTTTAGACAAGGACATTCCTAAATAGATAATTTACAACAGGCTTTCCAATTTCATTACTTAATTAAGTATGCACGAATTTCCTAATTGATGTTAAAATTGTTGGCTTTTAAAAGTTATTTGCAAATATATATTATTGAATATTAAGCTCTAATAAAGGAATGTTTTGGCATATGAAATTTCATGAAATGGACAATCTTTATGGTTACATCAATTATCCATTGAATTTTGAGTTATAGAATTAAGATAATGTGCATGTCAATATTTTCTAACCTTTGTGTATTTTCTATTTCATTTGTGTTCAGTTTGAACATAGAAAATCACACAAGTAAGCAACTTGACTTTTCCTTACTATAACTGTGCACAAGCTAGTATCACTTTGATTAGTCCTTAAAGGAGTTATCTTTCACGAAAGATAGATGCGATTTCACTTGTGATATCTCAAAATAGCAGCTATCTTTTCTTTCAGCAAATCATGTAATGGCCTGGGGTCAGGGCCAGTACATCTGCGAGTACAGCACATGCATTTGCACAGGGCAGCAGGGGTGACAAAAATTAATGTCTAAATTTTGGATCTGGTTATCAGCTGCAACCTGACTGAGCAAAAAATTCCATGTCGGGCAGAATTGCCATTCATTGGTAAAGCATACAGCTAGAACTTTACATTGCTGGTGCCTACTGATGATGTATGGAAAATTTGTTGGGGAGTGGGCAGCACAGTCACCATTTGCACAGGGAAGCAAAACATGATGTTCAGGCTCTGCCTGGGGCTTCCACATCTCCTATGATTGAAAATGGAGTGGAGTCACCTGAGTGATGTGTGTGTGCAAGTGTGTGGTGAACAGCCTGTTATTGTATTTTGGTATTTTAAGGTCAGGTTTTCACCTGTTAGACAAACTCTGAGGGAAATTGATATAACTGAAAATAACAACAGTGAAAACTTTAAATCTTGTTGTGTATACTTACATGCATTAATATTTATTTAAGCTGTTAATTTTTCATTTTGTATTTATTCATTGTATAATTAATGACTCAGTGATGTATTGGAGTTTAGCACTTTCCTACGTTGGGAACTATGAAAGCTTGTATTATTTTATATTACAGTGTCATAAGTACAGATCAAGATTTGATCAGATGTCTAGGAATAGAATGAGAGAGAAAGTGACAGCTAGTTTTATCTTCAAAGATAAAAAGGCTTCATATCCTAAGAGGTTGGTAATATATGAATATGCAAAATAGTATATTTAGAATTTAAAAAAAACAGAATGATATTTTAATTACATTTTTTATGGTAATGTTTTAATAACATAGAATATTACTGATTTAGATTTAAAATTGTAGATTGAAACATCTCTTAGAGAATTTGTGCAATACATTCAAAGTGGAAAGTCAAGTAACTGTCTTTTTCATGCAAATAAGGTGAAATGTTTTTACAATGGGAAACAAAACATAAAATGCTAAATAAAAGCATTAGTTTAGAAAACACTGAAAGAAAAAAAATAAAATAAAAGGTAAATCTTTGACATATACATTTAATAATTAAACTAGAATATAACTGTAAATTCAAATTTTATTTTGTGTTTGAAACTCATAACAAACGGATGTAGAAGATATAGCTTTATTAAGTCAGGATTCTTTCTACACTTGAAATAAATTGTTGGATATCCTAGTAAAATGACTGTATAGTTATCAAATGCATGATTAAGAGCATATCTATTCACTAAGTTACCCCATTAGCACTAATAATTCAAGTTCTTTCAAAGGTTTTATACAACCTTCTGTATATATTTTAGTGTGTCATACAAATTTTTTCTCTTTCGTGATCAAGTAGCCTTCAAGTACGGCATGCTTATATATGCAGTGCAGTATAGATGAACATGTTTTTAATAATAATACACTTAATAAAATTTATGAGTGTTTTTAGTTTATTACACTAGATTGTTGTAAGAAATATTTCAATGTATTTCATATTAAGTTTTAGTCAAACTAAATTTTTCCAGTGTATCACACCCTTTCAGAGGAGATTATGTTAGACTCCGACAGAATCTCAAGTGGAAAAAAATGTCAATTGAAACGGGAGATCAGTATGTAGTTTTTGCTGACATAATAAACAAAGTAACTCGGACCAGTGGAAAGGTAAAAATGGTGGATAAAATTATTACATAGTTTTTATTATATATATATATAATTTAAGGGCAACAGTTAAAAGACCTTTTGGTCCATTTAGGCCATCTCATCCGCTAAACTAAACATTGAAATATAAGCACTCAAAGCCAGCCCTTATCATTCAAGTGTTTATCAAAACTTACCTTAAACTCTCTTAAATCAACTACATCCATTACTTCTGAAGGCAACTCATTCCAAAAGCAAACCTCCCTGCTAGATAAATATAGTTGTCTTAGCTGAAGATGACTCCTACCATTCTTACATTAAATGCATAAAAAAGATGATGCATCAGCACATTTTAAACACCTCAATCATATTCCTTCAACTCTTCTTTTTTCAAGAGAAAACAATTTTGGGGATCTAAACCTATCCTCATATGACAACCTTTCCATCACAGGTACCATCCTTATAGTCCTTCTCTGAACCCTTTCCAACAATTCAATGTCCTTTTTAAGGTAAGGCACCCAAGACTGAACACATTACTCCAAATATGACCTAACCTCTTTAGGCTTCTGTACCTAACATCCTGCCACCAGCAACAGCACATTTCTTAGATGGCTTAAGAGATTGTTTAACTAGAAACACCAAGATCCTTTTCTTCTATAACACTGTTAAGGTTATTTCCATCAAAATTATACTCATAATTCAATGATATCCCTCATGCATTACCTTTAATTTATTGTAATTAAAAACCATCTGCCATTTGTTTCCCAACTCACCCAATAATTTTCCTTTTTTTGTAAAGAAGCACCAGCATCCTTACAACATCCAAAACCTTAATATCATCAGCAGATTTAAATAATTTATTGATCATACCTTCATCAATATCACTGATGTAAATCAAAAAGAGCAAAGGTCATAAGACTGAGCCCCGAAGTACCTCCACTTGTGACATTAATCCAGTTTGACTGAACTCCGTTTATAACAACCCTTTGTTTTCTTCCATCCAGCCAATTTTTTATCCAATGAGCCAACCTATCTCCCACACTTTGAAAATTATTTTTTAACAAGACTTTTATGTGGCACCTTGTCACATTCTTTCTGAAAATCCTGATGTATCAAATCTAGAATTAAACCCTCATCTACATAACCACTAATATCTTAAAGAATGTTTAAATGATAAGTAAGGCAAGTTTTCCTCTATTTAAATCATGCTGACTGTCCTACAAAATTTTAAACTTTGTTTAAATGTCTTTGCAAAGCATCTTTTATCAGACTTTCAAAAACTTTTCCCACTACTTACCACTAAAACTTTAATTTATTCATCACCTAGGTTTATTATTTTTGTATCAAAATTTACTGTGATAAGTATGGATTTGTTTATTTAATAAATTTAAAGATTTATAAAGCACAGTTTTGTCATACGCAAATGCAAAGTGGAAAATTATCCTATACTGCACACTCAAGGCTTCCTATTGGTGTTTTGAAATAACGTACATTATTCATGATTCAGAAGTATGGCACTTCAGTTCACACTCCAATGAAAACAGAATCTAGAACCTAAAACAGTTCTTGCACATACCAGATTTTTTAAAAGTTATAATAATCACAGGAACAAGTGTTTTAATGACTTTAATCATAAAAAACTTTCAGTTAGCATCATCAAATTCATCTTAAATCCCTAAAATCACATGGTGTAGAACTCCATCATTTATGTACATTATATCACATGTTTTGCCTCTTCACGATGTACATGTGAGTAATGTTTATCTATGTTTTTAGTGTTCATCAAGAGATTGTCTGTTCGGTATTTTATACAAATGTTTTCAGTGTTCATCAAGAGATTGTCTTTTCTGTACTCTATCACAAATGTTTTCAGTGTTGATCAAAAGTTTGTCTCTTCTGTAGCTTATCACAAATGTTTTTAGTGTTCATCAAGTGAATGTCTGTTCAGTATTTTATTACAAGGGACTTCAAAGTTCATCAAAACATTATTTTTGCAGTATTGTATCACAAATTGCTCTCTTACTGGTATCTGTACATAATTTTTCAGTATTATAAGACAAGGGTCCTCTGTCTTCACAGTATCCATGTGTAGGTTTTCAGTGTCATAAGATGAGGGTTACTTGTCTAGTGAGTACCTAGGTATACTTTTCAGTATCATAAGATGAGGGTTATTTGTCTAGTGAGTACCTAGGTATACTTTTCAGTGTCATAAGATGAGGGTTATTTGTCTAGTGAGTACCTAGGTATACTTTTCAGTGTCATAAGATGAGGGTTGTTTGTCTAGTGAGTACCTAGGTATACTTTTCAGTGTCATAAAACAAAGGTTTTGTATCTAAATAATATCCAGCTCTAATTTTCTATGTTTGTAAAACAAAGAATCACTATCCTATGAATATCCAAGTATAATTTTCTACTGTTATAAGATACTGGTTCTCTGTATTACCACCATCAAAGTGTAGTGACAGATGACAAAATTTCACTGTCTTACCAGTATCTAAATGCATTTTGTCAGTTCATAAAAACATGTTGTTTTTTTTTCATTTTATCAGTATATGAGTTTATTTCTACAGAGTTATGTTACACAAGTGTTCTCTCTTAAAAAGGAGATGTACAAGGATGATGAAAATATTGTTCAGTTGAGGAAAAGTCTTGGTATTCTCTCTCTCTCTTGCAGTTTCATGCATTCTGTTTGGGATACTGATTGTTACATAAGTGTTGGTTTGTAAGTTATTTGATCACTTCAGTAGTCTTCTTGCTTCTATGAATGTTCGTGTATTGTGTTCTTTTACAAGTATCTCGAAAGTATTCATATGTAATTTCTTCAGTGTTGTGTAATATGTTCTCATGTGACCAGTTTTTGCTTTGTTAAAAGAGTCTAAGTTATTACTTCAGTCCCATATCATGCAAACATTTCTTGAAACAGTATCCAGGTGTATTTTCTTCAGCATCATATGACAATTTTTTTTTGCTAATATTATTAGTATAATAATACAGGATCCCAGAATGTGAATAGTAGACAAACTCTGTATGAATTGTACGACCCTTCGGTGACAGAATCAAGCTTTGTCAATACCTGATGAAGCTTCATTCTGTAACTGAAATGTTTTACAATTCTTATATGGAAGTTTTTCACCTAAATAAACTGGAATTTTAATATTAACATATCACTGTATATTTTCTTCAGGGTCATATGTCAAGCATTCTTTCCTTTAATATTACTCCTGTATATTTGTTCCCAAAAGTTCTCTGTCTTAACAAGCAAGGTGTTGTCATGTCACAAAAATACTTTCTTAATAGTATCCAGCTTTTTTATAGTTTAATATAAAATAGTGTGATTTCTTTACATTTATTCTATGATGTTTTTTGTTGTGAAGTGTGTCCAGACATTATTTGTAATCAGCACAAGTTCCATGCTCATCATGGATCAGCGAACATTACAGATCAAGTACCGAGTGCCAGCATCAGACATCTTTAGGATATCCCTCAGTCCATATGTTGATGATATATCTGTCTTCCATGTCCGGGCAGTAAGAACATACTTTATTTATTTCTGTTTCATTTTAGTGTTTATGCTGTTATGTATTTAGGTTACCTAGCTTTATATATCCTATCTGTGTATTTTTTCTTTTAAAACATTTAAGTATATTATTCAGTGTCTTTGGAGTATACCATGTTGCTTTAAAATGTGTTTTAAAAAAAGTATTAGGACATTCAAAGTCATTCTGATAATTGATTTCTTTTTTACTCAAGAATGTGTTTTGTGAAATAAGTATTTGTGCATTGTCATTTATTAATAGCATATTGTTTCTGTAATTTTGAAAAATTAGAAGTATCTTGAAAACTAAGTCATTGCCCACAAAGGTTTCATTTCTAATATTAACAATGAACCAAACTTGACACAGTGGTGCTCACTTCTTTAGGCTTCATATACTTTTTTTTTCTCATCAACTTAATGAGACACCTTTTGTTTTGTTTTTGTGTGTGTGTGAGGGTACTTACTGTCATAGAGATTACTAACTCAGAGGAAAGAAATTAACTAATAAACAAGAGATTTAATGATAGCTCTAAATAAAAACTACCTTTGCTATTACAAATAAATAATGGTCAGAATAATGGATCTCTAGTTTTAAGGTTATATATTGGTAGTAGTAATAGTAAAGTTGTATAAAACATATCTGTAATTTTGCTGCTGATGATAATATGCTGTGTGAGGATAATACAGTGTACAGTTTATTTGTATTTGGACAGTTTTACTCAGCAATCTAAAAAATTTGGATAATTTGTTGTGTTTCTCACAAGTATGCCATATTTGGTTACAAAATGTAATGTATTAATATTAAAATCTTTATATACCCAAAATATATTAAGTCTAAAAACATTAAGATTGCTGAGGAAAACATGACTTTAATGTGATTTAGTTATAGAAAAATTTTTAGTTTTTATTGACTGTTTGAAAACTTTAACAAAAAAGGCTGTTACTATGATAAATTCTCATGTACATTTTAATGCTCTGTAATAAAAGATAAAATCTAATATAAGAGCAGATAATAGCAAAATCAAGACTATCACACACTAATCTATCACATTAAAAGCAGAAATTAAAATATGACTAAATTAAGATATGGGATCTATGATGTTTTTTATGTGACAAAATATTTCCATTTCTCAACATATCTGGTTTACTTGCCCATCATAAAGAAAGGTTCACCTTTCCAAAGGGCTCAGGATTATAGGGTTTCTGGATTTCTTTAAACACATACAATCTGATATTTATGCTCAAACTTTATATGCATCAGCAAGTCAGCTATGTCTTTGAATATTTCCTAGTAAGGAATCTATCAAAAAGTATCATCTCATCCTAGATAACTTAAACTATGATTACCAACATTATTCTGACATTTATACAAAAAAAGTTTTTCTGTTATTAGATACTTTTGGTTTGACACCAAAACAAGAAAAAGGAAAAATTAAATATTATGATAACAGAAAAAGTATTCAATTTTCTTTAAGTGTTTCAGTGTGCTGAAAAAACCAAATAGGACGCTGTAATCTAATTACAGACAATCTATATATTAAAATATCACTATTATGTGAAAGTGTTCTATAAAGCATCTGTTATTTTTATGAACTTTGATTTCATTAGTTTAGGAAAGATTTTGGTATGTCAAATAACTTACTGCATGTTTACAATTGTTTTGTATACTGAATTTCACAGCATTTAGAAACTCACTTGCTGTTATTCACTTCAGAGTGTAATGATTGACAATGGTTTTCTTACCTTTATTTCTTTTGAAAGCAACCAGTTATCATATAATCTTTTATAATTTAATTCATTTCTCACTTGGTGAGTTTAAATACAGGTAATTATTTTGAAATATATGCAAACTGCAACTTCGTACAAAGTGTTTTTTATTTATCATGATATATTTGTTGATTGCATTTACACATTATTCATATAACTAATTTAATGGATAACTTATACAACTTAGCCTTTATTCTACCTCCTCTCACCCAAAGCTATCTCGACCTTGACTTGCCCTCTAAGCATTGCTAACATTTTTCAACAGCATACTTGTCGTTTGTACCCCCTTCATTTTTGCATGGGCCTGGCATCGCCAGGTGGTTAGGGCACTCGACTCGCAAACTGCGGGTCACGGGTTCGAATTGCCGTCAAACCAAACATGCTTGCCCTTTCAGTCGTGGGGCGTAATAATGTGATGGTCAATTTCACTATTCATTGGTAAAAGAGTAGCCCAAGAGTTGGCAGTGGGTGATGATGACTAGCTGCCTTCCCTCTAGTCTTGCACTGCTAAATTATGGATGGCTAGTGCAGATAGCCCTCGTGTAGCTTTGTGTGAAATTCATAACAAACATTTTGTGCCATTGCAGCAACATATGCTGATCATGTGACTACCCTCCACCAATCATACTGTGCCATCTATACTAGCACAGGTAGCTCCCTCTACCATTGCAGCACATTGACATTCTAATGTATAGACATGTGTTTTAGCTCGTTCCCCATGTGACTACAAGATTTTGATTGTGCTTGATCACAACTTTATATCAATTTCAAATTTTGACTTTTTGACTTTGATTTCCATTGTTTCTAGTCATTTATTTTGGAAATGTTTCTGTTTCCAAATTCTACTTTGTTCATATGAATTCGAGATTTAATATGGCGGATGGTGAAATTCCAGTCATAAGTAGAATACTAGTCTCCAGGTCTCAGGGTCAACGATTCTGCTTGGGAAGTACAGGTTTTAGTTCATGGGAAGTTTGTGTCTTATGTTCAGCGACAATTTTCCTTTCACGTTACGATTTTTGTGAAAAAGGATATAACTGCTGTGTGGAAATTGTCATTCTACTGCACCTTCCACCTGTTACTGTGCCTCCACGTAATCTGCTGGGTTAGGTATTGTTCATTTCAAAGGAGATCTGTGATAAGTTTTTCAGTGTGTATTTGTCACTCCCCGTAGGTATACCCATGTTCAGTGACTTTATGTAGGATGGACCTGCTTTCTGCACTTGATAATATAGGTCATTCATGCCTTCTCTCCTCAGTATTGGATAAGTTAGATTTTTATACTTCTTTTACCATCTAAGTTAATTTAGTTTAAATTTGCATTTGGAGTTTATTTATTCCTTTGTTTTTGTTTGCATTTTTTACTTCTTTTCACTGTTAATGTTATTTTGTTTATAAGTTCCTTTTTCTTTACTACTATTCAAGTCTAATTGGGGATTAGATTACAGTTAAAATTGTTATTAAATTGTTCTCATGTTTTTTAGGGTCAGTTTTATTTTCGTGTCCTTTATCTTATAGAGTCTTTGGTTGGACTTATATGTTCAGTATTTAAGGTTTGTTTATCTTCTCAGTTCCTTTAGTGGTTTTGTACTTTGGGTGTTGCTTATTGTTTTCTGTTTTAGGTCGAATTTCATAGTTTTGCAAGTTTGTTATTTTGATGTACTTTGTATATTTTACACGTTTCTACATTTTGTTAGTTTTTTAGTAATGATTACTTTCTCTCAGTATGTTTAGTTTATATGTCTTTGGCTACACTTCATGACAGTTCCATTGGTTCTACTGGTTCTGTCTGCGAGTTTCTGCCTTCTATTTTGCTTACCCTCTATCCACTTCCCATATCTCCTTGGGATCGCACCTCGTCCAGTCATCTTGTCGAGTCTGTTCGAGACTTACTATACTTTGGTGGTTTTTTTGCCCCAGTGTCACTTAGTTATCTCTGGTTCATCCACGTGGATTCTGTCTTCCAGTTCTGGGTGCTGCTGTTCTGTTTTTCTTCAGCTATATAGGTGTTTTGTTGAGTGGTATGCTCTTTCGCATGTCATCTTCAGTATGTTTAGTTTATATGTCTTTGGCTACACTTCATGACAGTTCCATTGGTTCTACTAGTTCTGTCTGCGAGTTTCTGCCTTCTGTTTTGCTTACCCTCTATCCACTTCCCATGTCTCCTTGGGATCGCACCTTGTCCAGTCATCTTGCCAAGTCTGTTCGAGACTTACTATACTTTGGTGTTTTTTTTGCCCCAGTGTCACTTAGTTATCTCTGGTTCATCAACGTGGATTCTGTCTTCCAGTTCTGGGTGCTGCTGTTCTGTTTTTCTTCAGCTATATATGTGTTTTGTTGAGTGGTATGCTCTTTCCCATGTCATCTTCACTCACTGAATCTTTGGACTCCTTATTACATGGATGACTGGCTTCTGCTTCCCTCTTTCCATGCCCAGTCAGTCACTCACACCTGCTTACTTCTTTCAAAAAATCGGATGGAGTTTCTCATTAAGTTTGAGAAGTCCTTTACTTCTCCCTCACAGTATTTTATTCATTTGGGGGTTCTCTTCACCCCCCATCTCCATCGAGCCCAACCTTCTTCACTTCAGCATTGAGATATGGAGTGGGCAGTCACAAAAGTCTTACCTTCTCCTTCTCTCTCTGCAAGAGAAGTTCTCTCTCTTTTGGGGCTGTGAGTTTCCTTGAAAGCTCCTACTCCCTTAGGTCGGGCATGCATGCATTCTCTTCATTGGACACTTCTTGCCCAGTGGAACCTTTCCCTTGGATCATCCCATCTCCCTTCCACCTGGGATCAGGGCTGATCTTGCATATTGGCTCGACAGGGACTTGACCATGGTGGGGGTTCCTATTCCTCTGCCTTTTACCAAGTCTCATCTGTTTACAGATGCTTCCTTGGTGAGCTTGGGAGAGAGGCTTTCCTCGATTCCTTAAAGATTTTGGATCGGTAGTCAGTCAAGGAGACTACTTTCCATTTCCACATTCTGGAACCTTTCACAGTTCATCAGGCTCTATATCATTTCCTTCCATTCCTGCAAGGGTGGGTGACTATGGTTCATTCTGACAATTCTAATGTCATCAGCTATATTGCCAAGCAAGGGAGAAACAAGTCCAGATTTCTGTGTTTTCAGACTCTGGATCTTCTGTACTAGGCCGACCATGACATGAATGTTCTGGCATGTCATGTTCCCAGTGTTATGAATCTTGTGGGTGATCACTTATCATGTACAAACCAGGTTCTCCTCATGGAATGGTCCCTTCATCCTCAGGTTTTTCTGTGGGTGTGCTCTCAACTGGGAACTCTGCATATATATGCATTTTTCACTCACTGGAATACCAAACTTCCTTTCTTTTTGGTCTCCAGTTCCTCACCCCTCAGCTCTTGGGGTGGATGCTTCAGTCCAGATTGGACGGGTCTTTACCTATATGCCTACCCTTCAATTAGACTCTTCACCTGGGTTTTTTCCATTATTGATATCACTTCTTGTTGTTTTCTGCTGGTTGCTCCTTATTGGCTGTTTCAGATGTGGTTCCTTTGGCCCTGGCCCTTCCTGGAGCTGGAGCTCATGCTTTTATTTCTGTCCTGATCACTCTTCCTACAACTGCGATCAGACATTTTTCATCCCAGTGTCACCACACTCCAGCTTCACTTATGACTTTTGTCTCGTGTCTGGTCACATGCCTCAACCCTGGGACTCACCCCTCGTGTGGCATTTTTCCTTGCCTGTACCATTCACTCTTGTCTATGTACCAGAAGCTTTGGTCTTACTTCAGATTTTGGTCTATTGGCCATGACTTCCTACAATCCTATCCTTCTGTTCCTCACCTGTTCAAGTTTTTCATCTGATTGTTTATTCTGGGTTTGTCTGTTTCAACTGTTGGTCTTTTTAGGTCCCTCCTGTCCAACACCTTCCTTTCTCCCACTTCCAGAATGCCTTCTCTTCCACAGTTATTTCCTTCCTTTTCCGATCCTTTTGTACGGTCCATCCTCCACGTTCATTTGTTCTGCCAGTTTGGGATCTCAATGTTGTTCTTAATGCCCTCTCTGGTTCTCCCTATGAACCCTTTGCAATGTGTTCCTTATACCAATTTTCCCTTGAAATCTATTTCCTACCCTCCTGGCATGAGGTTGTCGTCATTCCCATATTTATGCCATTAATGTTTCTTGCATCCTATACTATTCTACATATGATATCCACTACGAAGTTTGGGCCTTCCTTCCCAGAACATCAGCTTCCTATTTTCTTACCTTCCTTTTCCCACCTGTTCTTTCATTCAGATCTGGATCATCTAGTTTGTCCAGTTCATTACCTGCATCCTTTTGTTGTTCTCATTCCTGTCTCTTTGTTCCATGGAATTCCTCTGTTTCCCATGATTTTTTCTTCTATTAAGCTCCCTGGTTGGGCTCATCAGCTCATACAACTGGCATATTCTGATGTGTCCATGGAAGGTCACCTTCTAAATCATGTTTCTTCACACCAAATTTGTCATCTAACTATGCCTTTAACTGCTCGCAAACTCCTTCTTTTGAAGGAGATTGTTCAGGTTGGTTTGTAGAAAACTCTCAATACATTTGTCACTCATTATCTGCACAACGTAGCTGTGTCTTTCTCAAGTAGATATCATCTTCCTCCTGTGATGATTCTACACACATTTGTTCACCTTTGCCTGGAGTTAGTCACAATATTATACTTTTTTATATTAATTCGTTAATATACATCATATTTCAAGATCCCATCTTGTGGTGGGTGTTGCCTGGTCAGGTATGCTGAATATTATATCTTGGCACTAAATCTGTATATTTCCATAATACTCACTGTGGAGATGGTGTGTTTCTGTGAGACCATTGGCTGCTTATCTAGTGGTGTGTATATCTATACCTATACATTTTTTTCCTATCATTGTATCATATATAAAGGACCATCACTCATGAACTTCATGAGTAGAACAGATGGGAATTTTTGCCCATCCCTACAGACCCATGATTCTTACAGTCAGGGTCTTTCTGCCTTTCAAAATAAGAAATTGCAGACATCCATTGTTGCACTGTCTCCGTGTGTTATTCCTCCAGACTGCCCAAAATGTATTCCCCCTTTCTCCTAGTGCCACTTCTGGTTCCCAGTTGCTGGAGTGGTGGGCCATGGGGGTTTCCTCTGGAGTGGGATTTGTACAATAAAATAAACTTCATAGTCATATGTACCCACTCTATGAGAAGAGGGCTATCGTCTTTATATTTCATATTATACAATATCATAATATGCTCAATCCAAGGTGCTTCTCCCAGATGTTTTTTTGCCAGGGCTGACATCACTTGTTGTTTACAAAATATTTTTTTTTATGCAAGACACTTCCCCTGGATGTTTTTTCAGTGGTGTTTCACACGTATTGATCTCTCTGGTTATTTTCTGCCTAGATAGACCACACTTGTCATACTACATCATATCACAAGGCACTTTTCCAAGATGTTTTTTACTTGTGCAGATCACACTTGTTGATCTCTCAAAATATTATGTTCAAGATATAAATCAATCAGTCTTATGCAAGGCATTTCCACTGGATGTTTTCTGCCTGGATAGACCACACTTGTCATACTACATCATATCACAAGGCACTTCTCCCGGATGTTTGCTGTCACACTTCTCATATTACATCATATCACAAGGCACTTCTCACAGATGTTTTCTGCCACACTTGTCATACTACATCATACACTTGTTGATCTTTCAAAATATTATGTTCAAGGTATATATCAATCAATCTTATGCAAGGTGCTTCCACTGGAAGTTTTCTGCTTGGAGTGACTGCGCTTGACATAATCCAACGTATACCAAGGTGTTTCCCCTTATCTGTCCACACTTGGCTATCTTAATATAAATCCAAGGCACTTCCCCTGGGTATTTTTTGCCTTGGTGACCACTTGTTAATCTTACTACCTTATGCAAGGTGCTTCCACTGTTGTTTTTGAATGGATGGACCACATGCCATAATTCGATGTATCCCAAGGTGCTTCCCCTGGATGTTTTTTGCCAGAGTGGACTGCACTTGGCCTATTTATATACATTTGTGGTCCACGTATTCTTATATCTGATTCCAGGCACCTTCTTCAAATCTGTCTTATGATTGTGTCACATGCTCATGCTTGTTACACATGTAAACATCTTACGTACTATATGTTGTCCACGGGTGGAATCTGTATTCCATGACATGGTGCCTGTCTATTAAGTTCTTTGTTTGTGACTGGAAGAAGAGCATACCTATTCCAGAAGTAGTGCTATACTCCACAGGTGTGCCTTCTTTTATAATTGTGGCACACCTGTTCTTTCATGTTGGTTGTTCTTTGTTTGTTTGATTACTTTTCAACCTTCACTGGCCCCTCCACCTTTGCAATGTGGGATTCTAGCTTAGGGTGAATAGAGGTAGTACGGTTTCAGAAGTTAAAATTTTCTAACACTGAAAATGTACTTAGAATAGGAACATACTTCCTCCCACCCACTTCGTGCCTTTCCTCCCCACCGATTTGGAAGTGTTTCTGGTTTGTATTTGCCAAATCTTGAAAGTGAGGATTGTGCTGCAGTGGTAGAGGGAGCTATCTGCACTTGTATAGGTGGTGCAGAATGATTGGTGGAGGGTAGTCACATAGTCAGCACATGTTGCTGCAATGCCGCAAAAAATTAAGGGGTATAAAAGGCTGGTGTGCTATTAAAAAATTTTAGCAGTGTTTACAGGGCAAATCAAGGTCAAGATAACTTTGAGTGAGGGAGGTAACAAATGTAAACTTCCACTGTTGTTTCTATAATCTTTTGTACAAGTAGTTGCTCCTTCCCTCAGTGGTCATGCTAGTTTTTAGATAGAGAGAAATGTATATAAATAAGCTGTATTTAATTGGAACTTGAATAATTTTCTTTCTAGAATGAGCTAACAAAAAAAAAGGGGGATTTCTTGTTTGAGACAGGGCATGTGATAGAAATTGTTACAAAACTATTTTTGGTGATCCAAAATGCTACAGGCAAGCCTCCTGAGATAAATATAGCACCAGAGTAAGTACTACTTGTATAAACTCATAGTAAATATTATTGCACAAATGTTGTCAAAAAATAACACTTATAGGCACATACATGAATACTCTTTCAGTAAATACTACATATATGTATCCACATAAAATACTTTGCAAGTTCTAGTAATATACACATAGTTGAATACTTTGTAAATGTGGTAATTTATTTTCATGATATGTATATATTTCCTCACTTTGGATTTGAACCTGAGACCTGTTCTGTGTTAGACAAGTACTCTACCATGTAGAATTATTATACACAGATTTTTCTCTACATTAAAATACTTTTATTTGTGAACTTTCAGCTCTCTTACTGAAGCCTTCATCCGGTAATAATGTATTTAGTGATAAAAATTTGTCTAACTATGGAACACTGCTTTAAAATAGGTATCTAGACAACTATCGTAACAGTAACTGACATCTGGTGTTAAAGTTATTACACATTTAGAATTATGATGAATATAGAAGATAAATCAATTGCTTCAATATAATAAATATAAGGAAAATAAAATTATAGGTATTATGTAGAGAAATAAAAATATATTGGAAAACTGAACCTTTAACCACGACATATATGTTTTATGTCTTTGATAAGTAGTGCCTGTGCACTATTGAGTAATTGTTGGGTGTTTTTTGATTAATACCCACTGGTGGTCCACTTTCTTGTGCTTGGATGGCAATAGCTTTTTGGGTTTTTCTCTGTTTGGTGTTTTCTTCTCTATCTATCATTTTTGCATTTTTTAAGTGTATTATATGGTTGTTTTCCTGAATGTGAAAAGCTATATTTGATGTGTTATAGCACAGTTCTTAATATCTCTTTGGTGTTCTTTGAACCTTACCTGTAACAGGCATTGTGTTTTCCCAATGTGTTGTTTGTTACACTCACACCAAAAAAAAAGGAAGAAAAAAGTTTTTCTCCACATTCAACAATGAAATGTGTTAAACGGGTATTGTGTTTCCCCAATGTGTTATTTATTACACTCACAACCAAAAAAAAAGGAAGAAAAACTTTTTTTCTCTTCATTAAACAATGAAACATGTTACAATCAAGTCTATAGTAATTTTTCAAGATTACAAAGATATCATGAGAATTATTGGAATCAGTGCTGATCAAGAATATCACAAAATGAAATGTAGACAAATTAGCAAGTTTCAAATAAGTGATAAATGTGTTAGACTTAATTTTGTTCTTACCTTGAAACAAGTACACTACACTAACATCATTGTTATCACTCAAGAAGTTGCTAATACATTAGTTCTCACAACTGCTAAAGAATTGTACTACCAAGTTTGAGAAAATCATCGACAGCAACCTAACTAAAGAGGAGCACCAAGCTATCAGTAATTTAGAGGAAGATAGAAACTATTATATTACCTGTTGATAAGGGTAATTGTACAGTCCTTTAAACCAATGTGAGTGACTATGAGCAAAAGATAGAAGTATTAATGGATGTAATTTACCAAATTCTATCTTTGGAATCAACTCAATGTATAAAAAAAGACTAGATAAAGAACTTTGGAACATGACAAATAAAAAGGAAATAAGCATTACACTGTACAATGGATTCTCTATACACCATTCAGTCTCCCCACAGCTTTATAGTTTGTCAAATGTATATAAACCTAATGTTCCCATGTGACATAATTGTATCTTGCATAGGATTGCCAATTTTATTTCTAGCATGCTAAAACGTCTAACAATAAGCACAAGGAAAATGAAATTATAATTATAATAAAATTCATTAACCACATTTATGACCAAATAATATCCAAAGACAATATTATTGCTAGCCTTGACATGGTTTCACTTTTCACCAAGATACCTGCTAAGGATACCATGGAAATAATACACACACAATTAAGTGATAACACCTCACTTCTAACAAGAATATTCATCAGCATCCCAAACATCATGATCTTGCTGGACATCTGTCTTGATGCAAAGTACTTTAATTGGAATGACCAATGTTAGACGGTACTCCAGTGGGTTCACCTTTATCACCTGTAGTACCAGAAATATTCATGCAGCATTTTGAACACACCATTTTAACACCATATATTCATCAAACTCATATATGGGTAAGATATGGAGAGGAAGAACTCCAAACTTTTCATGCTCATCAGAACAGCCTATTTGACAGCATACAATTTTCCATAGAACTTGAAGGTGATAATGCTCTTCATTCTTCGATGTTTAGTTTGCAAGGATGCAAGTTGACCACTACCGTTTATCGGAAGGTGAGTCAAACAAATAAATATCTAAATTTTCTTTCATACCATACAACAGCTGTCAAAACTGAGATTATTAAAACACTAAAATCTATAGGTACAAGTTTCTGCTCCTCGTTTTACCCATATTGATAAGATTTTCAGGAATAATGTTTATTCAAATAATTTTCATTATGTGGTTCATCTGTCTCAATTACTAATGAACCACAATCTGTCAATCAGAATGAAAAAAAAACATTTCTTCCTTATATACCAGGCCTAGGAGAAAACTGTCGTAAGATAATGAATAAACTTAATATCACCATAGTTTTCTGAAGTCCTCCTACACTAGTCCCCTAGAGGTGGATTTTGGTATGTGGTGAGGGGACCTCCCAGGGAAGGTTCT